TGTGTGTTTTTTTCTGAGACCATGTTTATATCTTACTAGAGGACCAGTGCACAAATTCGTACACCAGTAGGGTTCCTCAGCCTGGCCTGTTGGATCAGGCCAAAACTGGCTCTCCAACATCACCTAAGGAGTCCCGAATTGCAAGAGGGCTCAGGCCCGGCTAAGGGATCCCACTGGTGCATGACTGGGGCCAGGGATGGTCATGGGAGGTTGGCCAGTCAGGGAGGGACCGTAGGAGGGCTCCAGGGCATGTGTAGCCCCTCTCACTCAGTCTGATAGGTAGGACCCCATTAGCAAGCTAACCTACCAGTTGAGCATCTGCTGGTCAGTACACATCATAGCAAGTGGTTGAATGGATGACTCGCATATCAGTAGCGTATTATGCTTTGATCGGTTGAATGGATGACTAGGCACTTAGCATGTTAGGTTTTTATAATATGTCTATGTTGTCACTGTTGTGGTTGCCAGCATAAACACACCCACATACTCATAAAGCCTCTTCGACTGCTCTAGGAGAAAGTAATTACTACTCTGCAGGCCTGTGGGAGTCCTTTATTCAGAATGCTTACACAGTAACACCTACTATAGTTTTTTGTAGTTATTTATTTAAATAACATTTTCCCCAGCTTGATTGTGAGTTCGTTAGAAAGGGGGATTATGTCTAGTCTTTCTTTACCCAGCACCTTATGTGTTCAACAGACATTTATCATAAAAATAACAAGAATTTGGTAAGCAAAAGACTAGCTTAGTCTGGCTATCAGTTCAGTGATTCTGTTCTATAATAAGTGACCTTTTGGTGTTTACCATATAGCTTTACCTCAAGCCTCTCATTAACCTAAATGTGTTTTAGAAGAAGAGATTAACCAACCCAAGCCAACCTTGGGTTTATTTCTAAATGCATGAAAACTTATCTGTCATAGACAGTTATCAAACCCAATGACCATTGCCACATAACTGCCAGCCTTGGGTAGCAAAGAAAGCTTATTGATTTTTTTCTAACTTTTCTGCAGCATCCTTGTATCCCCTCCTTATTACTGGATTTAGCATTTTCTCCTTGTGATGGAATGATGAGTTAGATACATATTGAAGTATGTAATGAACAGTTATTTGCTAGAATATATCCTGTTATTTGGAAAGAGATCTGTTTAATATCAAGAAATGATAGGTATTTCAGTAGCTCACATCTTAGTAAAACTGCAAAGGAAAATAGTATATAGATGAAATTTAGAGAGAGTAAAATAATTGCAGATAAATAAAGACATATTTATCTTTATCTAGAGATCTTTGGTTAAACTTTAGATCTTTAGTTCAGATCTCACTTAAAGAGGACAGAGTAATTGTAGACATTGTTGCTGGGGTAGAAATAGCATCTGCTTTGCAGGAAAAGAGACCTGGATTTAGAATCAGTTCATCAATACACCAAAGTCACTTTACTTAACCTCTTCCTATTTTCACACTAGTGGGTCTCACAGGGTTGTTGTGAGGATCACAGGAAGTGGTATATGTAAAGCACTCAGTACAGTGCCTGGCATATAGAGACACTAGTCTCCTTTCTCTCATTTAGCCAGAGCCAGTGGGGAAGAGGAGCAGAAAAATACATGTAATTCAGGAATGATTCCTTAAGTGTTATGTATTTCTAACCTTGTTAATTTTTTCTTTAATGGCCCTTTTCCATGTCTGATATTCTATTTCATCCCCACCTCTTGGATCAGACTGAATACTTCCTGAAGGAAGTCCTGTCTGAACTTGAGAACTGAATCAGGAAAAGTTAGTCAAAGAGGAGGGGAGAGGGCCTGTGACTGAATGTCACACTGATGATTGATGGAGGCTGCTGATATGCGCTAAAATTAGAGATTCTTATTAGTTGAGAAGTATCCTCTCTGCCCTGCAGTCACTGCTCAGATAGCTCAGGGGACTCTTTTCCTCCTTCTGGGGGCCCCAGCCCCAGTATGGTTTATGGCAGTGGTCAGCAAGCTCATTAGTCAACAGATCCAAATATCAACAGTACAATGATTGAAATTTCTTTTGAGAGCCAAATTTTTTAAATTTAAACTTCTAATGCCACTTCTTCAAAATAGACTTGTTCAGGCCGTGGTATTTTGTGGAAGAGCCACACTCAAGGGGCCAAAGAGCTGCATGTTGCTCACGAGCTGCAGTTTGTCGACCACGCATTTATTGAACTGGGCTAGGAAATACAAGCTTTGTAAAAGGAATTACCATTGGGTGCTTACTGTCAGGTACTGTCCTAATCCTTCATGGGTTTGAATCATATGAGTAATACCATTATTAGCTTTATTTTGCATAAAGAGGATACTATCGCAGAAAGATAAAGTGATATGTCCAGAACTTCTCAGTAAGTAGTAGAGCTGGCTGGGCTCTGAACCCAATAGCGGCTGTTGCCCTGCTAGGGGGAGACCCTGTAGTAAAGGAGTGTTACTTTGGCCAGTCTTCCTCTCTCTTCACACAACCACAGAATGAATAGTGGGGACTTAAGGTATTTTTCTGTGTGTTTGTCTTGTACTGCTGTACAGTCTCTCTCATGGAGGATGAACTTGTCCTTATTTATGGGTTGGGTAGAAGAGTTGCATTAGAAGTACAAACAAATAGTCACAATCCTGGGTTACACTTTTTTTTTAATACAGAAAGGGAAAGTCCAAGAAACAAAATAATAGTTTATGTGGATAATATAATGGATTGAAAAATTATAGATTTCAAAAGAAATACTAGCGGCCTTCCTATCATATACACATGTTTTTATATAGCTACTTAACAACCAGATGTGTTTTTTGTTGCTTATTTTACAAGTTTAGACGTTTAGACAGTTTCACTATAGGAACATCTGCCTCGTGATTACTTCTTTGATAAATTAGTGTCGAAAATTTTCTTTTTTGTTTTGTTTTGTTAATCCTCACCATTGATTTTTTAGGGAGAGTGGAAGAGAGAGAGAATGACACAGAGAGAAACATCAGTGTGAGAGAAACACATTGATTGGTTGCCTTCTGCAGGAGCCCTGACCAGTCCTGGGCTGGGGAGGAATTTGCAATCAAGGTACGTGACCTTGACCGGGATCATTTGGTCTGCTGGCCAATGCTCTATCCACTGACCCAAACCAGCTAGGGTGAAATTTTCATTTTTTTATAAGGAGCAATGGTATTTAGATGAACAAACATTTATCGAGTACCCACTGTCAAACAGCTATGGCGATAGGGAATGAATCTAATTGTTCACTTCACTGAGGTTGATATTACCATTTCACAGATAAGGAAACTGATGTTCAATGGTGTTATGTAGACAGTAAGTGGAAAAACTGAGATTTGAACCCTGACAGAGACCATATTTTTTCATATTTATGTTGAGTAAATGAGTAATTTGAAGATGTATTAGAGGAGACTTGCCTCCAAAAAACTTACAGTCTCATTAAAAGGATAATATTTATCAAGATCAGTAACAAAGTAAGATGCACACAGAACAGAGAGTTTAAAGATTGCTTCTAGCCAGGTAGGTCAGGAAAGTCTTTAGGAAGAAAGATGCTTTTAAAAATACTTTTTCAGAGATAGGAGGACATTTCTGGCAGAGAGAATAGCAAGTAGGTAACTCTGAGTTATATCTAAAGAGGAGAAGATAGGCAGGTATGAGGTGTTTAGTGAAGGGTGGGCTTTGGTCCAGGAGGAGTATAACACTTGAGAGGCAAGTAGTGGAAGGCCAGGCTGACAAGAAGATTGGGACCAGGTTCTAGATTCTTGTTACATTTTCTCAACACCCTATGCCCTCTCTAGTCATGCTCTGGTACTATAACTATTTGAGAGTACCCTGTATGTTGAGTTTCATGCCTCTTTGCAAACTTGGCTTACAGTTAAAAAAAAAAAAAAAGATTTTTATTGATTTCAGAGAGGAAAAGAGAGTGGGAGAGAGAGAAACATCAGTGATGAGAGAGAATCATTGATTGACTGCCTCCTGCACACCCCACATTGGGGATCGAGCTCACAACCTGGGCATGTGCCTTTGACCAGAATCAAACCCGGACCCTTCAGTCCGCAGACTAATGCTCTATCCACTGAAGCCAAACATTTTTCCCCCATGGTCTGTAATGGCATTACTACCTTATTTACCTGATTCATTGATAGCTTCCCTGGGTATTCCAGTAAGAATTAATTGCAGCTGCTTTGGTGGTCCCTAAAATGTAGCATATATTTCTAGTTCACATTTAATTTTGCCTTACATATTAGTAATTGTTTACATTTCTCTCCAACTAAAGGGTAATCTAGAGAACAAGATGAGGTCTTATTTATCATTATATCCAGTTTAATCTTTGTTCATACTCAATACTTAGAATATTTGTGGAATTAAATAAATAATAGTGTAGAAATTTATATTTATTTTCCCTGATAAATATTAAATTAGTGCCAAAAACTACTAAAAGTAAAAGAATGAAGAGGTTAGTTAAATTATTCTTTATAGATATACTAGAGGCCCAGTGCATGTCATTCATGCACTGGGAGAGGGTGATCACTGAGCCTGGACAATGACCTCTCGTAGTCCGGGACTCCTGGGGTGATGTCTGCTGCCAGCTTAGGCCCTATTCCCTTGGTAGTCAGGCCTAAGCTGACAGTCAGACATCCCTCTTAGTCTGGGACCGATGGTCTTAGGCTCTACAGCAGCGGTTCTCAAGCAGAGGGTCAAGAGCCTAAGACCATTGGAAAACACATATATTTACATTACAATTCATAACAGTTGCAAAATTACAGTTATGAAGTAGCAATGAAAATATGGGGTCACCACAACATGAGGAACTGTATTAAAGAGTGGTGGCATTAGAAAGGTTGAGAACCACTGGCTTAGAACAAGTTATAGCTATCATTAAAATTATTGTGACGTGAGATCTATATGTCACTATAATGTGAGCCTATATATCTATATAAAATGAAATAAAGACCTTAAAGAGAAGCCGAGCTTTAAAGGATAGGACTATTTGTTTTTAATATGACTTCTCTTTATTTTAGAACTGATAGATGTCACACGCACTCTGCTGCTTCTAAACCCAGACTTTACCACGGCATGGAACATGAGGTACGTCATTCTTACCATTAATAAAATGAAATTGTCCAAATTTCTGAAGACATACAAGCCCCATGAGTTGTTAGCTTTTTGAAATATGAAATATAAACCATATGTACATGGCATCTTCTCATTTTTTATAATAGGCCCATGAAAATTCTAATATAAACTTTGCTCCTTTTTTGCATATTTAACTCTGTTCTCTGTAAACTACTTTCCTGAAATATAAATCATCATGTTGAATCATTTTATACATTTGATGCCTGCTTTTACTTTTCCTTTCATTTAAGAGAGGTAGGGGTAATCAGCATAGTTGGTTGACGAGTAAGACCCTGCTTAGTACATTTGAGAAGCATTATAGTGTGTGGGGTGAGCATTTAAGGCCACAATCTTGTAATCTCAGTTGAGTCACTAACATTGAGACCTCTGTGGGCAAATCACTGCAGACTCTGGCACTCAGTGTTTTAGAGAGAGGTCATATTTTATTGATACCTTTAATTTTAATTATTGTAGCTTTAAACACAATAGTTATTGAACTATTATAGTTCTCAGACCAGGTTCATATTTTTCAATATATATATATATATATATATATATATATATGGTTTTTAAAAACTGGTGGTTCCTTAGACTAATGCAAATTCTTTTAAGAGGAAGGCAGGATACAAATTATCCTATATAATCAAAGCATAATATGCTAATTAGGCTGGACATCTTTCCAGACCACAGGTGCCTTTTGCTTTCCTAGTTAGTTCCCCTCACATTTATTTAATGACCCTCACTTTATTCTTTCTTCCCATGTTAGCAGCTTACTATATATATATATATATATATATATATATATATATACACACACACATAGAAAAACACACACACACACACACACACACACACACCATTGATTGAGGTTATTTTAAGCTAAGATGTCTTCCCAAATACTACTTTGTTGTTCAAATAAAGAAATTGAGAGAGAACCCTTAATTTAAGAAACTTTGTAAAGATTTATATGTAAGGTAACTTCCTATTTACTGAAGAAAAATTTTTTTTTGTTTATAGACATCCTAGGGAATATAGTTGAGTAATTGTAAATCAGAAGAGGTTTCAAAATTAGTAAATGGAAATTATACTTAATACAGTAAGTTACCTATAAAAATGGTTTTTAATCTTTAGTGTGTACCACCCAAGGGCTTACTAAAACACATTGCTTTGCCCACTGGAGTTTTTGATTCATTGGGTCTAGGATGAGGCCTGAGACTTTATTTCTCAACAGTTTCAAATGATGTAGTCAAGGACCCTAATTTGAGAATCTGTTCTACAAAGTGCTTAAAATTACATAGAGCAGTATTGTGCCTTCTTTTCTATAAGTAATCTGACTTATTGTATGAACAAAACATTTACCGATTTCAGAAGAAAAAGGATCTCGGACTGCAAAAGTGATTGGCTGTGCATTAAATATTCTTTTAAGATGATAAGGTTTCCTGTACATTGGAAGAAAAATAGTCAATAATTTCACCTATTAAAGCAGCCATATATACCTTTATTTTATAAAGTGAAATTATTGTAAAATGCAAATACTTTTACTTATGAAGTGTTTTCATTAAAAAGGAAGTTTTTTTTTTTCCTTTTCAAATAAAAGGTTAGAAATAGGGCATTTGCTGTTGGAAAGAAAAGGTATTGTGGTATTTAGGAACTAATCCACCTAAGTAGGTGAAGTGTACATGCTGGGCTTTGGTTTTATTGGCATTACACTTCCCTAAAATATATGTAATCATCCCTACCATAGAAAGGACATTTGAAGATTAAATATTAGCAAATGAACTAGCTTCATTATAAAATAATAATACATTAAAAATTAATATCAAAACTTATAAAACTTATCTGAGAAATTAAACCTAAACCTAAGTCATTTTTACCTGAGAAGTATGGGGAGCACTTTTGCATGACATTCTTTATACTACATTGAAGCTTAGAATACTTTTTAAAAATAAAAATTTCACATAGCTCTTACTTTCGTTTAATTTCAAAAGTTATCTAGTATAATAAAGACCCATGCAGGTAGGTATTTTACCTGGTAATACACCTTTTGGAAACTTAACCCTAAGTGATAGTACTACAAAAGAAGTCATAAGCACAAAGCACTTTGTTTCAGAATTATTTTAGAATAGCAAAAACTTAGAAGCAACCTAAATCTCTAACCATAGGGAAGAACATAATCAAACAGCATAGCTACTGAATGAATACTATTTGATCACTTAAATGTTCATATGGTTCAGCTGGTTGGGAGCATCGGCCAGCACACCAAAAGGTTGTGTGGGTTTGATCCCTGGTCAGGATGCGTATGGGATGCAACCAATCAATGTCTCTTTCACATTTATCAATGTTTCTCTATAAATAAACAAACAAACAAACAAACAAACATATCCTCACCTGGCTGGTATGGCTCAGTTTGCTCATGTACCAGAAGGTTACTGGTTCAATTCCAGGTAGTTAGGGCACGTGCCCGGGTTGCAGGCTCCATCTCCAGTAAGGGCATATAGGAAATAGCCCACAGATGTTTATCTCTCATGAGTGTTTCTATCTTTCTTTCCCTCTCCCTTCCTCTCTCTAAAAATCAATAAAGACATATTAAAAACAAAACATTAAAAAGTATCCTTGGCAGAGGGTTAAATAAATAAAATATTCATATAGGACCATATGTAAGATTAGAATATAAAATTATATGTTAAAAGATAGATGCAGCCCAGCCTGCATGGCTCAGTGGTTGAGTGTCAACCTGTGAACCAGGAGGTTAAGGTTGGATTTCCAGTCAGAGCCCATGCAGAAGGTAGCTGACCAATTATTCATTTGCATCATTGATGTTTCTCTCCCTCTCCCTTCCTTTCTGAAATCAATTTTTAAAATTATATATATTAAAAGGTAGATGCATATAAGGAACGGTAGAGGGAAAATTAAAAAATAAATATAGTCATTGAGATTACATCTCAATAATACTGGGTGGGTTGTATGTGTATTATTATTATTTTTTTTATAATGAACCAGGTCATATCAAGTCCTACTTAGGAAGCTAGAGCAATTCTTGCCTCATTTTGGAGCTGCCCTTCAGATACTGATGTCAGGCCTGATAAGCTTTTGCAAACCCCTTGGCCTTCTTCCAAACAGATAACTAAAAGGTCTACCACTGATTTAAAGCTTTTGTTATTTTAAGATTATGAGAATACATTCTTGATTACTGTGTGTGACGTGTATGAGTTTTGTTTTCTTTTTTCAAAAATTCTTGGAAATTCACTTCTCAGTGAATACCCATACAATATGTTTGGATAGAAAGATAAAGTAATGGTTCTTTTTATTTTTCTTTTACAGAAAAGAGCTGATCCTCTCTGGCACTTTAAATCCAATTAAGGATTTACATCTGGGAAAACTGGCCTTAACTAAGTTTCCAAAGAGTCCAGAAACATGGATTCACAGGTGTGGTTAATTTACACCTTAGGATTCTTACTTAGGATTCCAAATGGCTGGAGAAAATACAGTGTGTGAGACCAGATCACATCACAGTTCAGAGGATGAATTTTAAAGTCATGCTTAAATCTTGATGCCAGCACTTGCTACCCGTGTGATTTTTGGAAATTATTTAACTTCTTCAAGCCTGTTTTCTCTTTTGTAAAATGAAAATAATAATTCCACCTATCTCAGAGTTAATAGCTGAGTTTATATGAGTAATACAGTGCCTGGCACATATTAAATACTCAATAAATTTTAACCATTATTGTTAACATTCTTAAGGAGTCATGGAAATTGCATTTTGATATTCAAATATAATGAGCAACTTAAGTTTTATAATTAATGAAATTGTGTAAAAATGATGGTGGTAATGGTTGTGATTATTAAAAATAATCAAATAAGGAAAATAAGTGCAGCTGAAATTCATGCACTTGGAGGGGGTTCCCTCAGCTTGGACTGTACCCTCTCACAGGGGATGTATGACTGATGGCTCCTATGGGGAGCGGGCCTAAGCCATTAGTCACGGTCATCCTTAGCGCTGCCGCAGAGAGGCGGGAAAGGCTCCCACCACCGCTGCTGCGATAGCCAGCCATGAGCCCAGCTACTGGCTGAGCGGCACTCTCCCTATGGGAGCATACTGACTACCAGGGGACAGCTCCTGCATTGAATATCTGCCCCCTCGTGGTCAGTGCGTGTCATAGCGACTGGTTGTTCTGCTGTTCAGTCGATTTGCATATTAGCCTTTTATTATATAGGATGCCTCAGTCAATCTCTTGGCTTGGCTAATCCTATATAATAAAAGCCTAATATGCTATGTGTCCGGTCGTTCAGTCATCTGTTCAGTCAATCAAAGCATAATATGCTAAGGATGCTAATGATATGCTAAGAGTACTCAACTGCTCACTATGACGTGTACTGACCACCAGGGGGCAGATGCTCCGACTGGTAGGTTAGCTTGCTGCTGGGTCCAGCCTATCTGGAATGAGCAAGTGGGGCCGGACGCGCCCTGGAGCCCTCCTGCAGTCCCTCCCTGGCTGGCCAACTTCCGGCATCCCTCCCTGGCCCTAGCTGTGCATTGGTTGGGTTTCTTGGCCTGGCCTGCGCCTCTCACAGTTTGGGACCCCTCGGGGGATGTTGGAGAGCTGGGGCTGAGGGACACCGCTGGTGCACAAATTTGTGCACTGGGCCTCTAGTATTTTATAAAGCAAGGTTTTGTTGTTAATACTAAAACTGTTATTTGAAAGTGAAAAAATTTTGTACTCAATTTCTTGTACTTTTATGTTAGAAATTTTTAATCTAAAATAATACTTATGAGAAAATATTTGTTAAAATCTAAAACATTAAGTGGTTGAGACACCTTATTGAATTTCATTTATGTGTATGCGAATGAAAATCTTAAAAATAGACAAGAAAAAAATCCATAAAGACATTTTAGAACCTTGATGGTCTCACTAATTATAATGTATTCGTTTCCTCTAGATTCTATACTGTACTATGGAAATTTTGCTTAATGAAAGCTGTCATAATGCAGTTTCTAGTTCGCAAACAAATATACATAGGTTGAGGCATCCGTATGTAATTAAAGATATGAACCATGATTCCTCTTCTAGCATTTACCAGCCATTAATTATATCTGTTCTCCCACCAACTACCACTACAACATACACACACACTCATACACCAGTTGAGTTTACATATCTTCAAATGGAGTTTAGGGTTGTAATTTTATAACTGATGGCATTTCCTTTTTGACAGATTTTAACATTTCAGAAAGGTTTTTCTTCCTCCTTGTCCTGCCTCCTTTTAAATGCTGCAAAAGTTAAATGTGTCTTTTAAAACAAAAACAGTTCCTCACATCCCCCCAAAACACACCCACACACACAAACTCATTGGGGTTATAGATAGGTATTATTTTCATTATCTGTGAATGGAAATTAAATTAAGAGCAAAAAAACTTTGTTTTTCTCTCTGGTTTATGCTCTTTCCTCACTCTCTTTCCCACATGCTACCTTATCAGACGATGGGTGCTACAGCAGCTACTTCAGGAAACCTCCTTGCCTTCCTTTGTGACCAAAGGAAACTTGGGAACAATTCCTGCGGAAAGGACTCAGCGACTAATACGAGAAGAGATGGAGGTCTGTGGTGAAGCGGCAGGGAGATACCCAAGCAACTATAATGCCTGGTCCCATCGCATCTGGGTTTTACAACACCTGGCCAAGCTAGATATCAAGGTAGGGGTGTTATTCTATCTTCCTAGCACTCTCCATGTCTGCCTTTAAATCTCCTGGTCTCAGTTCCTCCTCAAGGGCTTTAAAGGAGGAAAGTAGAGGCAGCCCAGCAGCCTAGAGAGGATCACAACAGCTAATACCTCCAGGGGTCCCTGGCAATTAAAAGAAGTTTGTGTTCCTCACCAGCATATTTTGGCACTGTTAAGGCTAGTGCATTGGCAGAACAAAGGTAGGTTTAAGCAGTAAGGAAGACTGAGCATAACTCATTTTGCCCTGAAACCGGAAAAGATTGTGGAACATTGCAAAACTGAATTGATAGCCTTTGATTATATGGCTTTCTGAATCAGCTGGCTGCCTTTTCAGTCTCTCTTGGGAAGGAAACAAGATTTCATTCAAGTATTTCCCAACTTAGTCTATAAAAATCCTGAGGATTCCTAAGTCCCACCCCAAGCCTACTAAATTGGAATGAGGGTAGGATTTAGAGATCAGTGTGTTTCACAAGCACAGGGGGTTATTTGGATGCAGAGCCAGGTTGGAAACTGTCACAACCTAATTCTTTTCGTTTAGAAATAAAGAGATGGAAGTTACCAGAGAATTAGCCACAGCATTACTTACTATTCATCAGAGTGAGAACCAGGTGTCCTTGGACTCCTTACATACTATAGTTATTCTGTTTTCTTCTTCCTTTTTTATGATATCAGTGCCATCAGCATCAAGGGTACTTGACTAAAAGCTTCCCAGTCTTGAGACAATTTAAAGAAGTCAAAATGTTTTCAGATTAATGGAGAAACTATTCTCTGACTTTCACTCACCACTCCCTTCTTTATACATCTTTCGTAGGTTCCCTCTCCTCTCTGTTTCCAAGATAGAGATTCCTCCAAGTGAAACAAGAGAGTTTTCACTTCAGTGAGACTTTAGGCCAGCAATTTTAGAGGAGTAGCCCTTCCCCTCTAGGTGATTTGGCTCTATTCTTCAGGAGGGGAGATGCCTAATGGAGAGGAAAGAGCTGAGACAGAACTACATTGGTCTGGGCTCACATTCTGGCCCTACTAGCTGTGTGTGGAAAGTAAGGCTTTAATGTTTTCATCTTAAAACTGGGGCTTTACTTTCTGCCTCGGTGGATTATTATAAAAATTACTTAAATTAATGTGTATAAAGTACTGGGCACCTAATAGTAGAGGCACACTAAAGTTTAGTTCTTTTCTTTATTCCCCGTAGGTGAAACTGGCTACCATATTGCTAGGTCAACTTACTGTAATTTGTTCATGAAATAGTACTGAAACTCAGTCATTCCCACACACTGTCCAGTACACTGGTGTAAAGACAAAGCAGTGTTACATTTGCAGGAACCAGGGAAGCTGCAGGTTCAATGGGAGCACAGAAGTTTACTCCCCATCCAGGCTGATTAATGGAGAAACTATTAATTGGGAGTCTGGAGGAATGCTTGCAAGTTATCTGGTGGATATTGAGTGGTTAGAGCCAGTCACTTCAGCTTCACAGCCTGGTAATGTGTGGGGGTTCAGGAGAGTTCAGGAAAAAGAGGAAGGCTGAGTCCAGGTGAACTACAAAGTCTTTGGAAGCTTTCCTGCCTAGATATGATCCTTTTAAGGTGACATTCTCACAAAACCAGGAACTTGGGGCCAAGGTGAAATTCTTGGTTACTTGACACCATCTGGTGTTGCAGACAGTGTGTTGACTCAGCTGCTAGGCTCACAATCCTAGGCTCACATGCTGTCAGCCTGCCTTGCCCTTGGGGGGACTGTGCTTTTCCTATCATCACTTCCATTGTGGTGTCTCTTACTCTCAGTAAAGAGTGCTGACATTGCAAAAACCCCTTTCTGCTCTTGTTAGCCATTGAGATCATGCTTTGTCTGTCAGAAAATAATCATAAAAGTACCAATAGCCTCGAGCAGCTTAAAAATACATATAAAATGAGGTGGTCCTTTTTTTTTTTTTTTTTAAACTAGAAAATGCATAGTGGTATTTTAGCATTGATGAGTTTATGGAAACAAGCATTGAAGATATTTCTATAATCTTACTGAAGGTCAACATGACAGTATTTAGCAGACTATACCCTCCTATTCCCCGACAAAAAGTATGTTATGTCTAATCCAACAGTTCTGCCTCTAGGAATTCATGCCAAAGAAATAATCGGAGATGCAGTATGGTGTAGCAGAAGGTTCCACTCAGTGGTCATGCAGACCTCGTTTGAATCCTGACTGCCACCAATTTGCTGTGTGCCCTTGAGGAAGTGTCTAAGCCTCTCTAATCTTCAATTTCCTCATCTGTAAAATGGGAAAGATGAAAATTCCTACTAACTCTAGTTCTGTAAATGGGAGAATCCACATAATGTGGCTATCACAAGTGCTTATACTAAGCATTCAACAAACAATGATTATATTAACTATGGGCATTTGATAGATGAAAATACTGTTTATAATTATGAAAAACTAGTCTAATCCACCAATAATGAGGGTTTAGTTACATTCCAATCTATCACATGTTACAATATTTTGTTAGCAAAATTGTATTTTGGAAGATAAGAAAAATGTTCATTATAGTTTAAGGATATAAAACTAAATATGAGATGTATCTAATATAATTTCTAATATATTATTAGCATTGAATGTGTTTTTAAAGTGTTTAGAACAGTTCCTGGCATATTGTAAGTGTTCAACACACACACACATAAAGACAAAGTACTGTTTGGGATATATTTTGTATTTTCTATAATAAGCATTTGTTAGATTTCTGTATTTTTAAAATATATATTTTCTTGGTTTTAGAGAGGAAGGGAGAGAGGGAGAGATATAGAAACATTTTGATGATGAGAATCATTGATTGGCTGCCTCCTACTGGGGACCAAGCCCGCAACCCAGGCATGTGCTCTTAGCCGGAATTGAACCTGGAACCCTTTAGTCCGCAGGCCGAAGCTCTATCCATTGAGCAAAAACTAGCCAGGGCTATATTTTCTATAATAAGCATTTGTTAGTTTTTTGTTCAAAAATGGCTAGAAAATAAAAAATGTTCATCAGTGCTATAGAGTGGAGTTATAAGAGGTTTTAATTTTCTATTTCATGTTCTCTATGATGTTTGTGTATTTAAGTGATCATATAGTTAGGTAAATTTTAAAATAGTCTCATTTTTAGGGTGGGAGGGGAGGAAAGACAGTTAAGCAGAGGTCATTACTCCAAAAATGATAAGGAGATGTCCAATAAAGACATGAAAAGATGTTCAATATCCTGAGCCATTAAGGAAATGCAAATCAAAACAACAGTTGGATACCATTTCACACCAACTAGGATGGATAAAATTTAAAAGATAGACATTGCCGAAACCAGTTTGGCTCAGCGGACTGAAAGGTCCCAGGTTCGATTCCCATCAAGGGCATGTACCCGAGTTATGGGCACATCCCAGTAGGGGGTGTACAAGAGGCAGCTGGTCGATGTTTCTCTCTCATTGACGTTTCTAGCTCTCTATATCTCTCCCTCTCTGTAAAAAATCAATAAAATATATTAAAAAATAAAAAAAAAATAAAAGATAGACATTAACAGGTGTTGACGAGGACGTAGAGAAATTGAAACCCTAATTTGGCATTTAAAATCTGTTGTACTATAGCCTACAAGTCCTGCTGCTTAATTCTTTAATAATGTATCGTAATAACCTGAAGATTAGTCTTGTTTTGTTTTTCCAACTAGAAGTTTATCTGCTTCCATTTTGCTCACCTTTTAAATCCAATAAACAGTCTTGTTTTTTATTTCTTCATGACTCACCAGAGGTGGCCTCTATAATAAATTTATGTGGCTATGAATAAATTCTTTTAGGATTTAAAGGAGATGTTTAAAACATTTCACTGATATAACTTGACCATCCTAGCAGGGAATAAGTTTATCCCTCAGTACTAATCACTTCATTAATTAAATTGTTAATTCAGTCATTCATAAAATACTTACATGTCCACTCTGAGGCCAGTGGGTATGGAGACAGATAAGTATCTTTTTCTTTAAAAATATATATATATTTTATTGATTTTTTTTGTTTGTTTGTTTTTTTTTTACAGAGAGGAAGGGAGAGGGATAGAGAGTTAGAAACATTGATGAGAGAGAAACATCGATCAGCTGCCTCCTTCACACTCCCTACTGGGGATGTGCCTGCAACCAAGGTACATGCCCTTGACCAGATTCAAACCCAAGACCCTTGAGTCTGTAGGCCGACGCTCTATCCACTGAGCCAAACCAGTTAGGGCCAGGTAAGTATCTTAAAGAACTTGTAGAGTTTGGTGGGATAAAAAAGTTGCACTGAAAATTCTATAAAATATAAATATATGTGTATATGTGTGTATATATGGTGAAGCCCACAGGAAGTATGGAGATTCAGAAGAGGAAAATATTTATTGTAGGGAAGAAAAGAGTTTGTGAGAGGTGGAGAGGGATCTTGGTACAGGAGAAGGCATTTGCTTGGAACTTTTAAAAAATAGGTAAAGGAGCCTTTTGACATTGTGCTGTCTATCTTGTTCACTGTTGACAAGTATGTCTTTTTTCCTTAGCTGGTTGGAAAAATCCTCTGGTGGAACATGGTAGATCAGTGTACCCATTTGTGTTTGTTACCTGTTCAAGTTACTGCCAAATAATTTAATTTTTCATAAATGCTGCTTTAATTTTTTCCCCCATTCCATTTCAAATTGTTTAGTTTGCAGGATTGCTAATACATTTAAACAATTCATTGCTGAATTTAATCTAATTTACCTTTAAAAAATTATCATTGATATTAAGTGAGTTGAGATGAATAGTAAGTAATAGTCATGAACTCTTGAAATTTACTGTTACTCACAAGTCATCTTTTTGTACTAAGCCTTTAGAATTAAGTAGTGAGCAAAACAGACATGGTCTTTGCCCTCAAGGCACTTATAGTGAAGAACAAATAATTACATTGAGTCTGTTATGGTAAGTTAGATATAGTAAAGGTTCATTAAATATCAAAGGAATTTTACATCAAAATAACCTCTGAATTTATATTTCCCTTCGGTGTGTGTGTGTGTGTGTGTGTGTGTGTGTGTGTGTGTGTGTGTGTAAAATCTCCAGTTATTTTATAAGGGAATGTCGAAACTAGCATTTACTGAGCTTCCACTCAGCAACAGCACTGTGTATACACTCTATACAAACTAGTGGTAGGAATGGTGTTATAAAACACACACACTCACATAAAGGACAATTAAAGCAAGGCATTAATGGAGAAAGAAAAATTTGGGAAGTTTTTCGTCTCACCTTTCTTTCTTCTTTTTACAAGATTCTTCTTGATGAACTATCTTCTACTAAACACTGGGCATCCATGCACGTTTCAGACCACAGCGGATTTCACTACCGCCAGTTTTTGCTAAAGTCTTTGACTAGCCAAACTGTGAAAGACAGTTCTGTGTTGGAGCAAAACCCTTTGAGAAGTGAGCCAGCCCAACTCCTTCCACAAGATGAAGCAGCAGCAGCTTCCACAGAGGAACCGAGGATAAATATTCCCCATCTTCTAGAGAAAGAAGTTGAATTCACCACTGATCTGATTGATTCCTACCCAGGACATGAGACCCTTTGGTGTCATAGGTAAGAGAAGGGAAAATTCATTTCTTTCATGAAGCTTGTGTGTTCTTATGAGACCTACAGAGGTCTTGCATCTGAGGCCTGCCTGCGTGGGTAAACATGTGATCTGCTTATGGAGCTTTGCCTCAGTGATTTGGAGGAGTTTGTGTAACCATATCCTCTTCCTCAGGATCATCATCAATAAGCGTTTTCCTCGTGTAGATGTATGTTTGCCTACAGCTTAGCGTGGTGGTATTCACCATTGACTGTACAGCGAAATAATATGTTACTTCCAAACTAAAAGTAGAAGTTTCTGCGTGTCTTCCTTGGAGATATTGATATTTAGCGTATCAGGGATGTTGCACTACCATTTGTTTTTTTAAAATACAAATAAAAAATCCTAACAATTAAATAGGATATACAGTTAGACCATTCATTAGTCACCGAGACTAGCTAAACTTCATTGTTCTTCAGACCATTATCTATATAATAAATGCCTAAGCAACCATTATGGCTTATGCATTTATTATATAGAATGACTGATGGCTAAAATACGCACTGAGCACCATGGGGGCAGATACTCAATGCAGGAACTGCCCCCTAGTGGTCAGTGCACTCCAACAGAGGGAGCACTGCTCAGCCAGAAGCCAGGCTCACAGCTGGCCAGCACAGCAGCAGTGGCGGGAGCCTCTCCTGCCTTAAGGCAGCAGCGCTAGGGAGCAGCAAGCCGAGCGGTATGGAGTGAGGGGTTCTGGACTACCAGAGGAGGCAGGCCAGGCTGAGGGACTCCACCCCAGTGCACGAATGTAGTGCATTGGGCCTCTAGTTAAGTATTATCTCTTTGACACTTCTTTTGTGTGTGTGTGTGTGTGTGTGTGTGTGTGTAAATAAACTGTACTTTGGCTATGTAACACAATTTTAGAAAATTCTGAGGAAGGGTTAGGAAATTCATAATTTGAGTTCTGAGCACGTTTGACAGTACAGCAACTTCATGTTGGAAAGAAGTCCACATACGGGAACCCCTGATTTATTTTGGATCATCTAATTAGAGGCAACTTCATCTTTACAAATGCAAATTGTACTTCAGGTCATTGTATTCCGGTTGTAAACAAAAGACTTGCCTGTACTAGATAGGAAATGGGAATTTTAAATGTTTTAATATTTTTAAAGTTAATTGAGATTTGTCTCCTTTTCCCAGTCTAGATATAGTTAGAAGATGGAATAATCTCCCCTCTTTGGCACTTTTATAAATATAGAAAATTTTTTTTCTTTTAAAAACAAGACACTCTTATTCCACATTTTCAAGAGACAAGACAGATTTTGACATGTGTCATTTTGGTGTTACAAATTATTTTGTTGCTGTTTTATATTTAGGCATATTAATAACAAGACTCAGAGGATTTTAAAAATCTATTTGTGTTTGCGAGAAGCTAGATTAATGGAGCAGAAACTGTCTTTGTTCATGTAAAGATTAATTGGAGTTTGGGATAGGCGTGGGGAGAAGAGATAATTGGGATGGCCTATCTACCTACAGCCAGCGTTCTACTATAGAGTCATTGCCCCAAGGCAGTTTATCTGTCCTTTAAGTTGTGTCCTCTATATGGTGGGTGTATGTTCCCTGTTTACTCCCAGATATGCTGGGAAAATGGATAGTATTATCTTTTTAAGGGCTTAGAGTTACTGATATGCTGGTGAGATAATACGACCTGGATCCTATATAGTTTATCATATTGTGTAGAGTAGATGTGCACTCCACTGCGTCAGATTTTTGGAGATTAGGCACATGGGTCTTCATTTTCAACAATAATCCCCCATGATTCTAAGGGCAGGAGACCAGCTCTGCTTAGGGGAAGAATAGCAACTGTGTCTTGTAACATACTTCATTTGGAGCCCAGCACACCCCTAATGCATGTGGATTTTTAATGAGACTGAGTGATGTATTTAGGGGAAGTTCACGTGGTTTCTACATAATAAGACCAACTACAGCAGATTGTTCTTATTAAAGAAAGTATTGGATAGAGGCCATGGACTAAGCCCTAGAGGAGCTATTTTATCCCTTTGCTTCGGAATCACTTGTCTTTTGGGATATCAACAAGGTTTGTATTTTAATTTATAGTGGAGATTGGGCTAAGACCTAATTTTGGTTTTATATTACAGTTTACAAAGAACAACAACTTGAAGTGATTGTCATCATCTCAGTTAATGCTATTTAAAAAGCTTTCTCACAAACCGGTAATCTGGACTTGTAAGGCTAGTAAAATACCCAGAGACTTCATCATAACTATTATTCCTCCTTTTGCCAGATAACTCTGGGTTATGAATGGAGCAGTGACTGAGTACTGTACGTTTTGAAATGATCAACTTAGTTTTTTGTTTCCTTGAAAAGCTTGACCATGTGATGTGATCATTTCCCCCCCTTATTCCCTCTCACTCCCTCCTTTTTCACAGGCGGCATGTTTTCTACCTTCAGCATCACTTAAGCGGTAGTTTTCCTCACAGTATGACCACATTGTCAACTGCAGACAGCCTTGTGGGGACTTCAAGTGACTTGCACCACATCCCAACAGGCCCTCGCACAGCTCAGGCAATGGAAGTGGATGGATTGAGTGACTCAAGCAAGCAAGGCTATTCCCAGGAAACAAAACGCTTGAAGCGGACCCCAGCTCCACATTCTGTAGGCTTGGAAATGGAACATAGGTTCATCGATCAAGTGTTGTCCACTTGCCGGAATGTAGAGCAGGCCAGGTTTGCCAATGCATATAGGAAATGGCTGGGTACGTTGGGTCAATGAAGAAGGTGGACTATTCCTGCAAGGTTCCCCTTTTAGTGCAATATTGCTTTCCTTTCTTATTTACATAGCTGCATGAACCGTCTGCTATTAGCTAACCACATATTCTTCATCTTCAGGTTAAAAATCCAAGACCTTTCATCTTATTTATTTTGTTAAGAACTGGCATTCCTTTGGGGACAAAATAATTGTGTACTTTCTTCCTGCTAAACAGTGAGTCTTCTCGTCCTTTCTATTTCTAGACTTGTATATTTCTAAAAGAAGCCTTTCAGGCTTCTTATTTGGTTCTCCTAGCTAGTTCAACACCTCCACCCATCTCTGGATAGACTAATTTTTTAAAAAATTAAAAATGTATGTTGTAGTTAAGCTTAGAAACAGTACAAATGCAAAATTACCCAATCTAATTGTTGTTTTGAGAATCAAATAGCCAGATGGATGGTTATGTGAATATACAAACCATTTCTTTCTCTAACATGTTTTACAAGTTATAGACCAAGATAACCAAAGTCAGACTGTTGGAACTTATATGAAAAACATGCTTCCGATGTAATCCATTTTTAAAATGGTATTTTAAAAATAATAATAATTTTAAGAGTTTATGTAATTGCAGTACTGGAAAATTGTTTTTATTACTAGTTTTGATAGATTGTTTTTAACCTCAAATTTGGTATATGCCAAAAACATTTAGATCAATGCTTATAAAATCAACTAAAAAAATCTGGAATGCCATTTTTAGTTATTACTACTTATTTTCCTTCCAATTTACCATAAAAAATGGGAGAAATAATGCATAGAAATGTATCCATAAAAAGTTTCCTTTTTAAAAACTTAAGTTATTGAGGATACACTGGATAAACTACAAAATTTTTATGAAATGATTATTAAAGATTTACTGGCAAAAGCCAGGGAGACAGAATAATTTTGAAGGTTAATTCTTTAATCTTTATTTTAAAAAATAAAACAATTAAAAAACTTTGATACTAAACTTATCAGGGATGAGATACCAAAGTATCCACCTTATAGCTATCTTTTACCTTTTCAATAACAAGGGCTGTTTTTTTTCAGGTTGGTTGGGCTGAGGGTGGAGTTAGAGGGGTAGCAGGTAATGTCTATTTTCCATTATTATATTTTCTGTTATTATTATATTTCCCATTCATAAGAGGTCTGTGTTCCTTATTTCCACATACCTGTCTCTTTATTTTCCCAATCTGTTCCTTATTTTTGGTCACTTTCTCCTTTGTCTGTTTTTCCTTATCTGTGTTGTTTCAGGGACATATTCTGAAGATATTCTTCCCTATTTCCAATGAATTCCATATTCCATTAAACACACGCACACATGAAATATGAATATGAGCTGCTCCTCTAAAAGTTCCTCTGGTGATGGAAGCTGTCTTGCCCTGTGTATGTAAAGAATGTGAGTCATAGTGGCAGAAACCATTGTGGCCACCATGTTTTATATGTTCTCCTTTACTAGCTAGGGCACCCATAGTGCAAAGAGATGATGTAGGGAAAGGCAGACCTTTCCTATCACTGTTATGGAAACTCTGGAATTCAATGAGACATATTGCTGTAAGAGAAAAGAATAAGTCCTTTACTTATGCATCATGATTTTGTTGAGTGGCAAAATGTTGAGACTTAAGAACACTAGAAAAATTCTCCAGGCTGGTTCCTATAGACAGAAGGTGCTCTTACCTCTGAGGGCAAAATTATCCTTTTGTAGCTTTTACAGTATTTTAGTGAGAAAATAATTGTCATTATAAACATAATTCCATGGCCCTTTGTGTGCAAGGCATATTTTGAATCAAATACCTCAAAGATAAACCATTAATTTGTGATCTTCAGCATCTACAGGTACTGAGGGGAAATTACAAAAGAGATGGCATGGGAAATTCAGCTCATTCCACTAATATATGTTGCCAAATTCTGGCTTCACTCAGTATTACCTTTTTTCTAAGCATCATTTTAAGTAGCCCAACTTGAAGGGCTTCTAAATTCTTTAATGTTAGAATGTTCAGGACATGAATATAGAAAGAAAAAAAAATCTGTGAAACAGCAGCTAAAATTTATCGTGCTCCACATTAAAAAATATATTTGTATTGATTTCAGAATAAGGAAAAGAAGGGAGAAGAAGAGAGAGAGATAAACATCATTGGTGAGAGAGAATCATAGATTGGCTGCCTTCTGCATAGGATCCTCTACTAAGGAACTAGCAACTTAGGCATGTGCCCTGACTGAGAACTGAACCATGACCTCTTGGTTCTAAGGTTGTCTGTCATTCAACCACTGAGCCACACTGGTCGGGTCACATTTTTTATACCTTTCACAGACGATCTTGCTCATCTTGTTAACTGTCTTCATCTGTTTTAAGTCTCTTAACTCACCACTTTCTGAAATCATGCAATTCTTTAATATCTTGGTCTCTCGTCCTCCTAATAAAGTTTTAAGGAGGAGTGAAAATACAAATATTCAGAGGGTACTGTTTGTACAACTTTTTTGTGCTGTTTTTAAAAATTTTATTTTTAAGTGTTCATCCACAGAAAAACCTAGTATTGTCCTATATGGTTGTATTTTTCCCCCCTAAATGGTTGACACCTAAACTCACTAGCTGTCGCATAATATCTCTTTGACTGAATGAGCTCATTCAGAGGAAAGGATGTATCTATTTTTTGGGATGTTAGTCTTCACTTACTTTCTATAAATATGTCATTGTTAAAAGATGGTTTAGGTTGACATACATTTCATCAAACTTTTACTGTAAGAATAGTACACCCAGTGGGTCATACATACCACTGACATGAAGAAACAGCTTGTCAATATCTTCACACCACCACTAATCCATCCTTTAGTGCACCTGTTTTGATAATACGGTGTTTCCAAATTCTACTTGCACATTGTGAAGGTTTGTTAAATATGTATTCAATTAATGAAGGACTAACTGTTTGAAGAGGGGAAAGATTGATCATGAGTGACTGGTGAGTTATGATTGAGAAATTAATGGATTAAAGCAATGGGCTGTGAATGAATGATATATTCTAGCTTTGTGATTCTTTAGTGGAGCTATTGCATATTGAATAAGTTAATTTTATATAGCAGTTTTGTTTAAGCTTGTTAAATCCCATCCAAGAAGTATAGCTCTGTAATTACCAATTAATTGTACTTTAATACATACTAAAAATCATAGGACTAATGAAGCCTGCTTGCATTAAGAACACTGTTTTCTGTTACGATGTTGCAGAAAAATCTTACCAATATAGCCAGAAGTCACTTAGGGGCATCTGAAGAAATTCTCTAATTGATCTGTACCAGTGGATGGATAGTCATTTTGTACTTCTCCTTTTCCCTTCCCAAACTTGAACTGTGGACTTTCTAGATATTTCTTAAACCTCTGTAAATCATTTTTTAAATTTAAGGATTTGGTACTTTATGTTCCATTTTTCTTTTCTAGGTTCTAGCATTTTATTGCCTTTTTGGAAACTATGGACACAGACTTTTAGTCATTTCTTATTCTTATGGTACGGTTCTAATTTTTAGTTAAAGGCTCCATGATTGATAGGACTAAATGTATACAGAATGTCACTAAAAGCCACTTAAATCTTCAGGTAAGGGCTTACGTAACAAGAGGTGGAAACTAGTTCTTGGATTTGTATGTGGCATTTTGTAGGAAAACATATATGGGGGTAGACCTTGTGTCATTTAGTAGATGCATTCAGGTCATATCAGCTCATGCTTATTGAGACACACACACTGAGAGAGAAGGGGGGGGAGAGAAAATATGTGTGTGTATAAAGAGAACTTTTAATATTGTTGAGAACAAGTTATCAGTCTAGTAATTTTATATAGCACAGATGGTATCTGACACAGGCGCTGAGTACAATTTGGGAGTGCAGCTACCACTTATACAATAATCTGTCTCAACCTCAGTTCCCTGAATTACAGAAGATGCTAAAGATTTAGTTAACCCAGGAAGTAACATATAATCTTTTTTCCCATAAAGCTTTTGTAAGCTTACAGTTATTTTGTTACTAGAAATTTTTATTTTAAAACTTAAATGTTTAAATTATGCTAGAAAATTTGAATAGCATTGTACCAACTGAACTTTTTGTCTTCTGAATAAATTTCTCAAATAGAACCACTGCAAATGCTGTCACTTTACAGACGTACCGCTGCTTCCCATGCTTGGGGGAACTCTGCCCTGTGCTCCTGTTCAATGAAGTGCATTGGGGCCCAGGGATCTTAGGCAGTTCAGTGTGATGCAGGCAGTAAGCAGGGAAAATCAGCCCAAGAAGTCTACTTAATATCACACAGTGTCTTTTAAAAATAACTATACATACTGTGTTAATTCGAGTGCCTTTCTTTTGTGGGGAGCAAGATTATATTTAAGTCTAATGTTCAGGTAAAAAATAGAGGACAGAAGTTTTATTGAACTGTTGATTGTGACTCATTCCAATTGCTAGGCATGGTTCCCATGGAGTATTTTATCTAATGAGATACTGATATGAGCAGATGGGATGATTTGGTTTGCATTTCATTAGTTATGTTTAAGCACCCTACCAAGAATTCATTCTTCTGTGGGGTTGAAGGCATCACATGTAAAGTATTGCATGTGTGTAATGAAACATCAGCCTGGAACCCACGCAGCCTGTGTTCAAAGGGAAACTGGCTCCTTCCGCTGAAAGAAATGCAGTATGATTGTCCTAAATGAATATTTTGCCTCACTTTAAGGACTTCCAAGAATTACCTCTCAAATCCAGGCCTATGTTAAGATAGTTGGAAGGAAAATTAATGGGAACTTTATCCTTTCAAATATTAGAGGAAAAGAAGCAAATACTGAGATGAAATTTCACATGTGGCATTTTATGTACTTTGGGTATGTAAAGGGGAGGGATGGGAATTCCATATTTCAAAATAGCAAATAATTTTTAATTGTAATTTTATAAAAATAAATAGCTAAGGATTCCAAAGTGCTTTTCAGAGGACTGTTGAATAACATATTCCAGTAATATATGTCATGTTCATAGTTGAGACAGAAAACCATTGTATCTGTTGGGATCTGGGGTTGGGGTAGCCTTCAGCTCCCAACTCTCCCGGCATGTTAACGCTGTAAAACCAAACTCTGGTAGGAAAAAGCAAAAGAGAGAAAAAGAGAGAGAAGGCAGCAGTTTCATCTGCTCATGAAACCTTGTGCTTCCAAGAATATAAGCTATATATATATTTTGTGCTTTGGGGCAATAATATGTTCCACAAAACTGACCCTGGCATTTCTTTTAAATTAGTCTGTTATTATTCCTCAGGGTGTAGAAGATTTAGTAAATTTAGGACAAAATTTTATATTCAGTGGCAAATAAGAAAAGGCAAAAATATGCTAAATATATTACTAGTTCTTAAAACGGTAGTGTACATAGTATTTTTTATGAACCACTACCAGTGCGGTAGCACATAGATGCTTCGTGACTGCCTCATTGTTCATCATGCTTCTTCAGTCCCTATGGCTCTATTAGGAATGTTCTCCACGTGTCTTGTCTGGAAACAATTATTTTTCATGTTTGACAGAGATAGGGGTGTTTCAGTGACATTTTCAGTTTTTGGAAATCCTACTGAGGAAAATGATTACTGTTTTCAAACTAACTGACAACTATTTTGCTTCTTAAAACTTCAGGTTCCCTAAAAGGGTGTTTTTTGTACATGTTCAATACATTGCATAGTGCTCCTTGTAGAAATACAACAGGTCAGAATTGTTAAAGGCCAGAAAATTGAAACTAGCTTTCCTCTGTCTTCTCACCATTATCCCTATTCTTAGTTTTAGGAGAAATGAAGTGCATAAGATACATAATCAAGTTCAAACATGCAAGGCAAAGACTGTAAGTGAAATTTAGGTACTTTTAAAGCATATGTGTATGTGTGTACACATATATATGTATGTACATCTTAATCAGATTCAGAACTTGAATTTATATTGTGGTTTTACAAAGAATTTTATCTAAGGATTTTTATTTTCGTATTTGCTTACAGTGCTCCTTTTTAAAGGCTTTTTTTTTTTTTTAGACCAACTCCCTCAAGCAAAATTGGGACCCTAACACAAGTACCCATTTGCCTGAATTAATCAGATATTAATGTAAAACGCTATTAAGTCTTTGGTTGCTCACAAACCATGATTTTCTGGCTTTTCTTCCATATCGTTAGGGAATCAGCCTTAATTTTATGTGTTTCAGTCACTTTCCTTAAAGTACTATGCACCGTACTTCAGATGGTTATTTTTGTCTTTATAAAGTAATCAATAATAAATTGAAGTTTCTTAATGTCAAAGGGATGAACAATTTTACATGTCCAGATGTTGACTCGTACAGCATTCAATAAAAAGTGCTCATACATTATCTTCCCTCACAAATATCATCTGGCATTTGAAGTAGGTCTTTTTTTCTTATTGGTTAAAGAAAGAGAGTAAACAATGCAGTCATAGTAGGTGCTCAATAAATAGTCATTTATTGATCTACTATCAAGATAATTGAGCTTTCAGAAAGGAGACTGTTGTCACCTTTCACTGAGGAGTCTATTTTTAGAGTAATATATGTTTGAAACTGAAAAATTACATCATGGGATATGAATTTTCAGGCTTATTTCGGTTGGCGTTAGTAACATGTAATGAAACTTGTTCATGTAGATTGGTCTGATAGGGGATGTGAAAAGTTGAAGTAGCTTTTTGTGCAAGGCACAGTAATAAATGCAGCTGTCTTCGTAGGCTGCTGAATGAGAGAGAACTGCTGTAGTCTTCTGCAATCAGTTTCTATTTGGTGTATCCAGTATTACCTGGTTTGAATTCTGTTTATTTCCCCCTAAATCTTGGTTGCTCTCCAGTATCTTAAAAGTGGTGGTGATAAAATATTAATTAATTTCTTGCTACTTTTCTCAGAACATCTTTAAAGTAAGGGAGACATTTTTATGAATGATATAGTAGTTTCAGAATCTGCTCATTTGTGGCTTTCAGAGCATTTTGGAATGCTCTGTAATTCTAATGGAAATTAGAAACAGATTTAAACAATTAAACATTCCAGCCTGAGCTGTGAGGAGCAGAGTGTGGAGCATAGTTGTAATTGGGTATTGGCTCCCGAAGAGGTTCCTGATGCATGACTCTGAGGCTGGCTTCTGGCTGGGGTGACCACTGGCAGTATTGTGATTTGGTGTGTGTTGTTCCTAGGAGAATAATGGAATGTGCACTAGATTAACTTGTTTTTAAGTTGGACAGAATAAAAGTTGAGGTATTATAAGCATGCCAAATATTTATACACTCAATTATAAAAACTAGAAAAAGAAAGGAGAAGAAAATGATGAAAGGTCAATGATTTTTTTTTTTTCAGTAGCTTTTAAAATTTTTTAAATGCAAATCTCTTGGACACTAGGCTGTTGCTTCAACACTGAGAGACTTTAAGGGATAGTTCTCAGATACTATATTCTGCTATTAGAATTCGCCATGCGTATTAATTTGACATTACTTGAAGATTTTCCCAAAAAATGGAGTATTTAAATAAGGTGCAGTCAATATTGTGTTAAGATTCTCTTACAGGTTATGGTTAAATAGACAAGTTACATATAGGATCTGTGGTGCAAGGTCAGATCCTGGGCATTAAATGTTTGGCTAATAATTTATTTCCCTGAAGATAATAATTGTCTTCATTCTGATTGCATTGCTATTTAAGAAAATCTGTCCTTCTCCACACCCTAAAAAACAGTCATTGAATTTCCTTCAATTCTCACCATATAATAATTGACACTTTTAAGGATTATTTTTACCCTTGAACTGTATACTTTGCAGAAGGGTAAAAATAAATTCTGCAGTAATGTGTATGCAGAGGGTGCTCATGTGTTCTGGGAGTCAGTACTCCACAGTGCTTAAAGTATGATGCTAAGTTCTAAGGCTAATGTCATAATTAGAGATTGCCTACATCAGCTCTATCCAATAGAAATGAATGTGAGCCACATATGTAATTTTTAATTTTTTAAAAAGGTGAAATTAATGTTAATATTTTTATTTAATCCAATATATTAAACATGTTGTTATGTAAGTATGTAATCAGTATACAAAATTATTGAGATATTTTACCTCTTTTTTTTAAATTTAGCATTGTATTCAGAGTGCATCTCAGTTCTGACTAGCTACATTTCAAGTGCTCCAATAGCCACATGTGGCTAAGGGCTACTATATTGGACAGTGCAGATTCATAGGGTACAAAGTATGACTTTATTTTAAATTGGGAGATGGTAAAAGGTGGGGCATGAAATTATGGTACTTTAAAAATTATTTACTATACTTAGAAAAGTATCTAATAGGATTATCCACTCATTTTCCTTCATTTTAAATTTGCTCTAGAAGTAGACTTACCCTGTTTCAGTTTGCCAAGTATTACATAAGAAGGAAGAAATTCCATGCCATGTAAAATACCATGATATACTACTTATAACAACACATTATCAATAATACATTTTTCATTGAGTTCACTAAATTCTGTCCTGTTTCTTCAAAATAATAGCTTAAATTGCATGTTAATTGTATGTCTGTATTTTTTTATATTCTTACTATACAATAATGTGTATTAACAGACAGCCTTAGGATTCTGATCTTCCTATGTAGCTGTCTCCTAGTACTTACTAGTACACTTACTAAGTTGTAATAAATGGCAGAAAAGTAGAATGACCCTTTTTTTTCTATTAGATTTGTTTTTATCATGTGATCATCATGTACCAAGCCAGCTATAAATTACTGTATTTCCGTAGAACATGGAAAATAGTGTTTATGTCTTATCTTGCTAAATGTTTGCAGTTTCTAAGTAAACTTCTCATCTCCTGAAACGAGTGTCATGCGATTTTATTGTTAACTTGCAGTGGTGGTTTAAACTCTACTCCCATCCACCAGCCTGTCTGTCCTGTGGAACTGCTCTGTTGGCGGGAGTGGGGAAGGCTCTGAGCTGTTGCCTAAGTGACCAGTGAGTTCACTTAGGCAACAGCTCAGAAAGAATATTTGCAGAAAGAATAAAAAACGTCATTTGTGTCAAGGATATATATAACAGAAATGTCAAAAGCAAGTTAGAAATATTGTCACCGTCTTTAGGGTGTATTAACAGTGACTAATTGACTTATGCAAGCCATTATAACTAGATATGCTTTTTCAATATTTCAAATGAAGTTACTAGCAGGGAATGAGTCAGTTATTTTAGTGTTATACCCCATGTATTTTTAATCTGGAGTCTCACTTCTATATACAGGGTGTTCCCCCCAAAATGCATACATACTTACACAGCTGATAGCTTAATTTTGAAAATGAAATATAGTTTAATAAAGAATGCCTTTATAATTGTTCATAGTTTATGTATACTTTATTGGGATACCCTATATTAGAAGTTAGAGACACAGCATTCAGAATTACTTAGGTGGTAGAATAAAAGAGACTGAAAAGTATTTGATAAAGTTGACACTTCTTCATTCAGATTTTAAATGTTTTAAAAGGATGTTTGTGGGAAAGGTCTTTTATAACTTTGTCCCATGACTATTTAGGATTATATTACAAATAATACACTACTATTATCTGCATCTATTTTTGGTAGGAAACATGATATAGAATATATTTTGCATCATATCAAGGTACCACAAACTGTTTAAAAGCATTGTGTTGTTTTTGTTTTGATATCGAGGAAAGGGAACTATCTTACTAAAGACAGTCTTGATAGTAACCAGAGTATATAAGACGTTTGACTACAATTAATACTAGTCAAAGCATCTCTAGGAAATGGAATGTTTCTTGAAATGAAAGATAAACAATAGTAACAGAGGCAGTATGATGCATTGGCCAGTTAGCAGTTGTCTACAGTTAGTACCACTTTCCTCATGTTGGAAGCTCAGGATTTTTCTTTTAATGCTTTTTTTTTTTTTTTAGGTGAAGAAGTGGTGTTATTAAAAAAATGGCATGGCACCTATATTCTCCACTCTAAAATGGCTAGGTTGGGCATCAGCTTCACTTATAGTATGCTCTTTGTAAATGAAAAGTACAGTATCTTTATATGTGTCTTGTGTCAAACTAGAAGTTGAAAATAGAAGCAATAATGTCTGCAGTATTTCATAGATTTCTAGCTGCCAGGAAGAATTCTTTACCATTTCTTAATTATATGAACAATAGACAAATAATACTTTTGAATTTACACTTTTATCAGAATCCTCTGGTGATATAAAAATTTTTGTATTCGATTCCTCATATACCTCTCACAGTAATTACTAGTATAGTCTGCTTTCAGTGGAGGGGAGCTAACTGGGCTGAAATGGCCATCCATCATATTTTTATAGTCTATTCCTTAAGTTGCCAGTGATCTCCCTAGACACACTGTTGAGAACATTTGAAGGGGTAAATAAATGGGATTGTTGCAGCATCAGTCACCCCATTTGTTTTATTTTCAAGGAAATTTTGAAATCCTACCATCTACTAAGGTCCCCTGAAGCAAAATTAATCACAAGTTCTCTTTTGTCTGTAAGTGGGGACACATCTAACTTGTGGCATTGATCTGTTACGTGTCTTATGTTATTTCATGTGAAGAAAAACTTTAATTAAACCAGATTGTGTAGTATTTATAGGGATGAAATCAAAATAAGAGATTCGGTAAATTGGAATTTTCCTATAATATACTATGAACCCATAAAAACAATATATGTAAGTACATGTAAAAAGCCAATTAATTTTTATTTATTTTGTAATCCTCACCTATGGATATTTTTCCAATGATTTTTTTTTTTTTTTTTAGAAAGAGGGAAAGACAGAGACATCAATGTGAGAGAAACACCAATTGGTTACCTCCTACAGGAGCCCTGACCAGGGTCTGTGCTGGGGAGAAGCCTGCAATCCAATGCCCTTGACCAGAATTGAACCTAGAACCTTTTGGTCTGCAGTCCAGTGCTCTATCTACTGAGAAAAACGGGCTAGGGTGCAAATTAACTTTTTAAAGTAAGTTAGAGAGTACTGGAGGACTCTGTAAAGTTCTAATTTAAATTTTTTATTTTATTTTTTAATATATTTTATTGGTTTTTTTACAGAGAGGAAAGGAGAGGGATAGAGAGCCAGAAACATCAATGAGAGATAAACACTGACCAGCTGCCTCCTGCACATCCCCCACTGGGGATGTTCTTGCAACCAATGTTCATGCTCTTGACCGGAATCGAACCTGGGACCTTTCAGTCCGCAGGCCAACGCTCTATCCACTGAGCCAAACTGGTTTGGGCATGATTTAAAATTTTTAAATTCCCATTTCCAATATGGCATGACCAACACCCCTACTGAATACAACTAAAAATGTTGGAAAAACTAGATACCTTCAAAGTTTCTACTGAAACTGCATAACACCAATAGAAAAAGTCTTAAAAGTAACAGAAGATAAAAGGCATTAAACCAATAGCTGACTTCTTGTAAGCAACATTTAAAATTAGAAGACAGTGGGAATGATACATTCAGTGTGCTAGAAATATGTAACTGAGTTCGTAATGTTGCAGGATACAAATAAAATTGTATTTTTATACTTGCAATGAAAAATATAGAAATAAAGTTAGGAAACCAATTCCACTTACAGTAGCATCAAAGAAAATAAAATACATCAGAATAAACTTAACACGTATAAAACATATTTTCTGAAAATGATAGAAGTGTTGAAATAAAGAATATCTAAATAATTGGAAAGCCGTCCTATGTTCATAGGTCAAAACACTTAGCATTATTAGATGGCAATACTATTCAAACTGATATACAGATTCAGCATAATCCCTATCAGAATCTCATCTTTCTTTTTAGAAATTGACAAGCTGATTATAAAATTCACTTGGAATTGCAAGGGGTCAAAAATAGTTATCACAATTATAAAAAAGAAGATCAAAGTAGGAGGAATCACAGTTCCCAATTTTAAAAATGACTCCAAATCAAGGTGCTGACATAAGGACTGATATAGAGATCCATGGAATAGAAAGTCCAGGGGGAAAGTACAAGTACAGTCAATTGTTATATGACAAAGTTGCCACCACCTTCAATGGAGAGCAGGGAAACAGTCTTGTCAATAAATAATTTTGGGACAGCTGAACATCGGTATGCATGGGAAAGAATTAATTTGGATTCCTATCTCACACCAATCACAAAAATTAACTCATAAGAAGATTAAAGGCCTAAATGTAAGCTAAAACTACAAAACTTTCAGAAGAAAACATACATGCAATTCTTTTAATTTAATTTAATTTAATTTAATTTTTTTATTTTTTACAGAGGAAGGGAGAGAGTTAGAAACGTCGATGAGAGAGAAACATCGATCAGCTGCCTCTTGCACACCCCCCACCGGGGATGTGCCCGCAACCAATGTTCATGCTCTTGACCGGAATCGAACCCGGGACCTCCCAGTCCGCAGACTGACGCTCCACTGCTGAGCCGAACCGGCCCCAGCACGTGCAATTCTTTGTGGCCTTTTATTGGGCATTTTTTTTTTTTTTAGATGTGACAAAAGCACAAATAATGAAAAAATAGGTAAGTTGGACTTCTAAACCAAAAACTTTTGTATTTCAAATGATATTATCAAGAAAGTGAAAAGGAAAACCACAGAACAGGAAAGAATATTTAAATGATATATCTGATAAGAGATTAGTCTCCGAAGTATATTTTTAAAAAGCACTTACAACTCAATAATAAAAAGCAAATGATCTAGTAAGTAATGAGTCTTCATAGAAGATTACAAATGTCCAATAAGCACATGAAAAGATGCTTAACATGATTAATCATTAGAAAATGTAAATCAAAGCCGCCCTGTGATATATGATAATATCATATTTACATGTATACCCGTAGTTTAAAAAATGTTGGTGAGTAGGTGGGATTCTGACTTTAATTTTCTAAATTACCTTTCTTATGATGTTTATGTTCTTAGATAAATGTATGTTTAAATGATTTTTTGAATACTCTAATTTTTTTTGGAAGGGGGGGAAAGAGGAGAGAGGGAAGACTCATAGCCCAGCAGAGTTTGCTACTAGCCAATTAAAAGTTCTTAGGTAAGCCACCTGAAAACACAGCGTTATTTCTCTAAATAAGATGCTCAGATAGCCATTATGTATCCAAATTAGGTATCCGAGAGAATGATACCTAATGAGTTTCCTATATCCAGGAAACACATCACAAATTGCAAATATAACTAAATAGGAATAAATATGCTTTGGGATTTGTTGAGTTACTTAACAGGATATCAGAATAGATACAATAAATCAAAGCAGAAACAAAGGAACAGAAGAGAAAAAATGGAAATCAATATAGCAAAACCAGACATCTGGCTTGTGTATTGGTCTAACCTTGAGCAATGTCATAATTTTAAATGACTACAAGAGTGTACAGTCAGTAAATGTGTAAAGCTGGCTGGATGTAAAACCACATGCTGAGCTCCTCATATTTTTACTTATTACATTGCCTTTTAAAACACTGACAGCCCGGCCAGCATGGTTCACTGGTTGAGCGTCCACCTATGAACCAGGTCAAGGTTCGATTCCAGGTCAGGGCACATGCCTGGGTTGCAGTCTCAATCACCAGTGGGGGGTGTGCAGGAAGCAGCCCATCAATGTCTCTCATCATTGATGTTTCTAGCTCTCTCTCCCTCTCCCTTTCTAAAATAGCATAAATATATATATTTACAGTTTAAAGGGGGTATATGATGCACCTCCTAGATCACAGATGGCTGTATGTATAACTATTTCACTCCAAATCTTTTATACTCTTTACTACCATGTGGAGAAGTCTCTAGGGACAATATTAGACTATATCATTTATTTTTATGCCCTGACTTATGATTCCA